GTCTCTCTCTGTCTCAAAAATAAATAAATGTTAAAAAAAATTAGGCCTATAATATACATAGTACTTGACCATGGGGACTATGGTGGTACGTCCAGAGCTGACAGGGTATATACACTTTGGTTAAAGAAAATGAAAAATGGCCTCTTAGCGTTGTCTGAATTTCTCCTCTCCAACACATTTCTCTCTGTGCCAGCCCGCTTACTGCTACTTTATGCTTGATCTCAGCCAAAGGGCCAAGAAGCAATGCTGCTACCTTGACACAAACTGTATTTCATAGTCTTCTTAGATGTTATCTGGGAAACTGTGACGCGAGCAAACCCGCACAGTGCCCTGAACAGCCAGAGTAGAGGGGAGCAAAGAGTGTTCCTAACGACCCTTCAACTCCAGACTTACCGAGCGGACTTCAGCTGTACCTCCTCCTCCTCCTCATCATTAGGGTTGTATTCGGGAGGCTGCCGATGTTTAGAAGCCAGGAAGTTAAACATGTCAAATGCTGACTTCCTGGAGCCAAAAGATGAAAACGTGTTGTAACAGAAAGGCTTTAACAGAAGCAGTGGACAGCTTTGACGCTGGAAATCTCAAAGGTCGCGTGGGAAAATAATGCCATCATACGTAAAAATATAGGGACCCGAACCTGCTTCCGAAAGAGAATGGAACTTGCCTCAGGTGAACTTCGGCCCTGGCCGAGCCATGAGGGTTCAGGGGGGGTTCGTTGGCCTCCTCCGGTTTGTGGAAACGGAATTTGTAATTCCTGCAGTGCTTGGCACCAGAGAGCTGCTCAATCAGGAACACGACCGCATCGTGAAGAATCCCCAGCATCCTCAAGCCGTTAACACCTGTCGGACAGAAGGCACCAAGGTAGTGAGGGCGCAGTCAACAGGAGACTGCCTGGTATTAAAGAAATGCTTGAGGGGCGCCTGGGTGGCTCAGTCAGTTGAGCGTCCGACTTTGGCTCAGGTCAGGATCTCACAGTTTGTGGGTTCCAGCCCCGCGTCGGGCTCTGTGCTGACAGCTCGGAGCCTAGAGCCTGCTTCGGATTCCGTGTCTCCCTCTCTCTCTGCCCCTCCCCTGCTCATGCTCTCTCTCTCTCAAAAATAAACAAACATTTAAAAAAATCAAAAGAAAAATGCTTG